GGTAGTATGGCAAGCTAGCCAGTAAGCCAGTTGTCTTACTCAGCACTCTATGAAGGCCTGAATCTCCATGCGCTCTTTGGGTCTATTTGACCGCCGCAAAATATCACAGCGGAATGTAATCATAAAGAAGCGCGCCGTTATGTCAATCGGCAGGTCAAACAAAGCTTACGCAGTGATCGTGACGCTTGGCGAATGTGACTCGCCACTAACTAAAGTCACTACCCCTTGCCCCTCCCTGAGAGGCATTGTACTTCAAGGGTGCGTTGGGCCCCTGGTCTTTCACGGACGGAAAGGCGCATGAACCATTATATATATATATATATATATATGTATATATATATATATATATATATATATATATATATATATATATATATACCCCATGCTGAGGCTGATGTTGCATTCTTGATGCTTCTTCACCGCAGTTGGGCTAAACCAACTTAAACTAGGTCTCTTTAAGCTGCATAAATTTCATTCCAGTTTATTTGGTTAGTTTTGCCTATCTGAATAGTCTTCTATTAGCTGGCCACGTCGCTTACGCTAATTGCGCTTATCTTCGGTAATTTTGTTGCGTTTGTAGCATTTTGAGTAACTTGTGGACATTTTTTTCCTTATCACGGATTCATTGCTAACCAACTTACTTCATATGCTAATTTAGCGAAGAGTTATGCCACCGTATCTGTATGCATTATTGAATTTATGTTATTTCATTTTGTCGTTTCAAGTGATTGGCTGTTGCGTGCTATCCCCGGTGTGGCTGCACTTGATGTGCATGTTGACAAGGTACCTACCTGTCTATTACCCACTACCTCGTCCATACTGGCTCCAGGAGACAGTTGGTCGTTGCTGGGGGGACGGGGTGCACGGTCCTTGTGGCCGTGCTAGGCTCGAAGAGTGGTTCCATGCACTCAGTGTGGAACGGACTACGGTCCAGCCACCGCCTTGTGTGCGCTTGATTCCCCAAATACAGTGTGCTCGTGTTTGCCTGTGAAGGAGTGTGGGCCGGCTCCGTTGATGAAACGTGGTTCCCATCCACATGCCTCCCGGTCTTATTCCTTCGCGTTTACACTGGATATGGGGTGTGTGGTTGGAGCTGTGGGTGGTGCAGCGCAAGCCACCCATGGTCCCTCTGTAGGCGCAGGCGTCCTGTGGCTGGCCACAGTGACAGGCAAATCCGAAACCGGATGCCGCCAACCATATATATATATATATATATATATATATATATATATATTCAACACTATACCAATTACAACATAATTGGCTGAGTGCCACAACACATAAGAAAAAATGATGGTATGAAAGGGAAAACAACTGTTAGTCTTACAGCAAGTGCGCTATTGCGTACGGTCCTTAGCCATATCCTCCAGCGTTTGCAACCAGGTGTGCTCGGGGTCCTTTGGTCCCCAACCCGGGAGTTGGGAACGCCCGACAACGACCAGTTTCAACGTTTGCGCCTTAACACATTGGATCCAAGTTTTACATTGCCCTCCTTTTCGTCGCTTTCACCCCACGTCTGTGCTCGCAAATAGGGCTTGTCGTGGTAGCCGCTGGGTAGGCATGCGGAGCACATGCCCAAGCCAGCGAAGCCTCCGCAGTGAAATGATGCTATCAATCGGTCGGCGGAGTTCGTTAGTTCCGAAGAGTCGCCGACGGATTTCTTCATTACTAACGTGGTGCTGCCATCGAGTACCAGCAATGCTTCCCAGGCAGCGGTGATCGAAGACTGATAGCCGCTGAACATCCTCTTTGTGAATAGGCCAAGTCTCACAGCCGTACAGCAGAATCGCTCGTACCGTAGCATTATAGACTCGTCCCTTGAGAGTGAGGCTGAGATCATGACGAAGCCACAGGTGATGAAGGTTAGCGAAAGCGACTCTAGTCTTGGAGACACGCAGAGAGATCTCATCTGTCAAACCGCCAATACTAAGCTTCCAAGATAAATGAATTTGTAGACCACTTCCAACGGATGACCCGAAAGGGTGAGAGAAGGACATGCGCATGGCCAGTCCTGTAAAAGGACCTTACATTTGGAAGGGGCAAAGGTCAACCCAAATTAGGCGGCAGACATCTCCAGTCTGAGCAGCACATGCTGCGCGGCTTGGGAGGACTCGCAAATCACAGCGATGTCATCGGCGTACTCTAAGTCCCGAAGGCGGTCACCAAGGAGCAGTTCAACACCGCAGGACTCAGAGTTAGCCAGGGCAGTATCCAGTATCTCGTCCATGGCGAAATTGAACAAGAATGGAGAGGCTAAGCAACCCTATCTAACAACGCTGATGATACTGAGAGGGGGCGAAATGTCTCTGTATTCTCGCACGCGGCCCGAAGTTTGATGGTAAATGGCACGGAGAATGCTGATGTACTTCTCAAGTACTCCCCTCTTCAGTAAGCAGTCCCAAAGAGCTATTCTGTCAACAGAGTCAAAAGCGGCTCGAATATCCAAGAATATGACTATAGTTGGTCGACTGAATGTATGGTGATGTTCAAGTATCTGGTGGATCGTAAAGATGTGATCGACGCGACCGCGACCCGGGTGAAATCCAGCTTGTTGTTCATGCAGGTGTTGTTCCCGTACGCAACTGAGCCTCCGTAAGAGTAGGACAGCGAGCAGTTTGGATGCGACACAAATGAGACTGATGCCACGATGGTTGGAGCAAATGGTCCGGTCTCCTTTTTTGTAAACAGATACAACATCCGGTAAATTCCAGTCGGATGGGATGGTTTCAGTAGTCCAAATCTGATGGAATAGAGGTGTCAGTTCGCGAGTGAAAGCAGGACCTCCATATTTGAAGAGGGCGGGAGGAAGTTCATTTGGCTTAGGTGCCTTGTGGCGCTTTAGTAGGCGAAGCTCATTGGAAATCTCAGCCTTTGTCGGTGGAGAGACATCCACGCACCAGGGAGCACTGTGAACCCCGGAAGATAGACACAGTTGCGCTGCTGGGCAGTTGAATTGATCTTCAAAGTGCCGTGCCCGTCGTACCAGACGACGGTGACGAGTGTGAATTAGTTCATTGTCATTTTCAAGCAAAACCACACTCACTGTTGGTCTTCTGCCTCTCGCAGAGCGAATAAGTTGGAAGAGTTTGCGGGAGTTTCCTGATGAGTCTACCCGCTCCATCTCAACGACGCGATGTGTCCACCAAACCTCGCGATCTTTCTTGAGGAGCTATCTGAGCTAGGCACCTGTGGTTCTACGTATTGCGTTGTACTCAACTCCGGCGGGAAGAACAAGCTTGTTTCCGTCTTGGCCGTCAGTGTGTGGAGCAAATCTTCACGCTCCGCCAAATCGTCAAACACTACCACTTCTACCAGAGGCCTACCATTGTTGCATTCTTAGACATCCGTACCACATTCGACTCGGTTGATCGACCTGCACTATGGCGTTGCTTGCTAAGAAGCGGGGTGCCAGAACGTATACTGTCATGGTTGGAGACCGTGTCAGATATGGCATAGAAAAGAAGTCAGAGGCATTCCTGCATTCGATTTCTTTCATCTGGTTGTGAATTTTCGCTTCATTCTGGTTGGTTTAACGCATATCTTTCTAGCTTCTATCTTCTATACATTCTACTCGCACCAAAACCCATCTTTCTACCGTTGTTACTTACTTGCGGTGTGAGTCATAGTAACTGGATCCACCGCATTTCGGTGCTCGGATCAGGTTTTTTTACTGAACTGAATTGCTGAATCTGTAACGCGACGCCGTCGAGATGTCCCCGCTTGGTAAAGGGCTGTGTTTACTATGTTGCCGTTTGGGAGGTGTTGCTATGTGGTAGTGAATCATGGCCAGTTCGCGTAGACGACATGCGCCGGCTTTCGGCCTTCGACAACGGGTGCTTGAGGAGGAGTGCTTGTGTATGATGGCAACAACGTATCTCCAACGGTGAAGTCAGACGCCTGTCTTAGGGGATTAAAGTATTCCCTTCAATAAGTTGGTTTTGATGCGTCAGTTAAGATGGCTTGGTCATGTACCGCGTACGTTAGCTGGGCGTTTATCCTATTTGGTCCTTTACGCTAGTGTAGGACTTGGCTGGAAGACAATACGCGATGGTCATCTGTCCAATTGGCGAAGCATATGAAATCAGTGACTTCGTGTGCTGCTGCCATTGGATCCACACATCTGCCTGGTTGGGACCAAAGTGGGAAGAGTGCCGATGGTTGGAAACAATTCAGGATATGGCGCACAACTGAAACCAATGGAAGATCTGTGAACATACCTGTTTAGAATTAGATGCTGAATGCTTAACAGCGAAAAAAGAAGAGGGAAAATGTCGTGTTCAAAAGAAGAGGAAAAACGTTCCGTTGTTCTTTATTGCGGGTCAATAGCTGAAGTGTGTTGTTCACTTTCAGCCAATGTGCCATGATGACGATGCGGTGATTAAGCCCCTCTTCTTGTCGTCACTTCCATGGTTTTGTTTGCCTCTGCCTACTTGTTAGGCTGTTGCTAATACACATATATGATATTGTGGAATTGTGGACCGTAAGTTCAAACTACAAGTAAGAAGCTTAAGATTTAGCCACATCTTTGAAGCGGGAAGAATGATCTACAGGCATGTGCGCACTAAAGCATGGTTCGTAAACTAACTTGACCGAGTGCTCAGTTGATGTGCGGCGATATGCTGAATTTAGGTCTAATGCACCGAGGACTTTGGCAGGTGCCAAGTGACTCGATGCGAAAGTTTGCGCTGTAACTACGTTTTATCGTACCGGAACTGAATGGTTCTTCGATTCTGATAGAACAGGCTAGCGTTCGGCTGCCTAATGGGCCGCCGTCAAATGTGGTTCATGCGCCTACCGGACGGCCATCTGTTGCTCGTACCCACATGTGGCGTTGTTAGCATACGGCATCATATACTTCAGCTTAGTTTGGATTCAGTGAAAAATAAAGGAAGAAAAAATGCAATTGTAGTATTAGTTGGGTACCACATGAAGTTAATTTTACAAGTGACTGTGCATGAACAATTGTCAATGCGGGCTACATCGTCATGCAAGAGACTTACAGAGTGTAGTCCTCACGTTTTTGTAAATGAAATCGCTTCATAATCTTCACCTCATGTAAATTGTTGTCGCACTCCCAGTTGATAAAATCAAATTTTTTTAATAACTTCCGTTCGTGAAATTTGAGTTTTCGCACCATCTTCTAAGGGACAGATGTGTAATATGCGTCCAGTCGAGGGGGCTTCCGTGTCCAGTGCGTGCGTCGGTTGTAATAGACCTGCCGGGCTGCAAAACAAAACGAATACCACGCAGGCGGTTAGCTGAAGCTATCACAACCACGTAGTAAGAGACCACAATGGATGTTAGGTGTGTCTGGCTAACACCTCACGCCGTGTCGGCAAGATCGCCCGATAGACAACCAAAAAAGTCCGGATGACAAATTTCGGGCGCTTAGTAAACTGTTACAGCAGTACTCCCGCGTCTAACAACTTTCCATTGCTTTTAACGCATTGCTACGACCACTGCACGGATGCGCACGTACGCACCCTTCAGCACCCTAAATTATTCTCATGTACGGAAATATGAGGCTCACCTTGAGCGGCCGAAAGTCGTCCCATTTGGGTCTAACTTCGGACGCTCAGGAACCACATCAGCCACTCTCGCACTGCAATTTCCAAATCCTTCTACGGGATTTCCACACCCACCCTTGTTAGCACGAAGTCAGATATGCACATGATAGGAGCCCGAAGTTGGTCCATTTACCAAATTATCGGGTGGCAAACGAAAAGTACCACAGCATCCCGGGGTTCTCAGACCTTTGACACTGTTAGCGGAATGGCTGACATTGTACTCCCGGTTTGACTATGTGGTTGTGAAGGGACTAGACGCCCCTCAATCACACGTTGCACTTTCTAAAAGACATGCAGCAGCACCACTGCCTTATCCACGTCTTCTGTAGCATGACTTTCACTCCCCATGGTCAGGTTACCAACTCCATCTCTCAAAGGTTTTTTGAGTGAACGTAATTGTAATACAACTTGAGCTTAGTTTTCGCATTCCGAGCTAATTGAAGTTCAAAGCAGTACTTCGCTATTCTTTCAAATTCGACTGCTAAATTCCTACATCTTTTGTGATGCAGCCAGGGTCTAAACCCACCAGATGCCTGAAACTTCTTCCAAGAATCGTTCCGCCGCTCAATCGCTCACTATTCCTCGGCGCCACCAACGCGACTTGGCACCATGACTTTACGGTCTCAGCGGAGTAAACTCATCTAATAACCGGACAAACCATTTTAAGCAAGCTAAAACGGTGCTCTAATACGGCCTGTTCTGGTTCAGGAAACCAGTCTATCTGCAGGGCTCGGTCTCGTAACTGAGTGAGGTCAATGCGGCCCAGGTTCCTCACAAGTCGGCGTTTTGTTGAAGACCTTTTTGAATTTAACGAGAAAGTAATCACACAGTGGTCACTCTTACCGATGGGAGCCTCGGCGTGTACCTCTGACAAGTGACCACATCTGGTTATCACAACGTCAGTGTTGAAGGAGTACAACCAACCCGCTTCCTCGTCGGGAAGTTAACATGCTGGATATAAGCATTCTCATGCACCCATTCTACCAGGTCTCGCTCCAGAGTATCTATCGTGTTCGTTGCATGGACCTAATCTGCAAGCGCGGAAGATTAAGGTCACCGATGACCAGAAAGTTCGGTGCAGTTACCACTGCCTGTTTGAGCAGCCTATTAAGCTCCTTATCTTCCACTCGCGTAGAGGACGGACTACGATACACGTAAATAATTATTTCCAACCGTCCCTGTAACCTAAGAAAGCACGAAACGACTTGGATACTAGGTGTTGACCTGGAGAAGGGGGCTTCCCAATTCGAGTAGTGGCTCTTGATAAGCAAAAGCACACCCACACCCGCCTGATGGCCAGGCCTGTCAACTCTATATTCAGAGAAGTCATACAGTAAGTTACAGACTGGATCACTATGGAAGAACCAAGTTTCAGTAACTGCAACTATATCGGCAAGTTTGTAACTTACCGTCAGTTCTTCCCACTTATTCGTTATGCTGCAACAGCTAGTGTACCACATTCTCAGCTCCCGTAGCTGATCCTTCCTCCCCATCAAATCTTTAAGCTTCCCCTCCGAGGGGATAGCACGTTTGATGAGACGTTTTCAAGATGATCGGCTACCTCAGTTGCCCAACTCTCTGGATCAGTAACCGGTCCTAGCAGAACGCCAGAGGATGAGTCCTGCTGTTGCAGCTTCAACAGAGCTACTTTTGTGGTTCGTTCGCCAGTTGTCTTCTTTGTTGCCTTTTGGATAGGCCGGATTACACTAAGCACTTCTATCAATAGGTCGGCCGGTGGCCGAGTGGTCTGCACGTTTGCTTTGCAACCATAAGGTCGCCGGTTCGAATCCGCGTAGGGGTGGGCGTCCTCGCGGTATACTCAGCCCGCGCGCGACTGGTGGTGGTCGCGCGGCAGCGAAGCGCCGTTAAGGCGTTCAGCTGACACATTATTATTATAGGCTGGCTTGCCGAACAACCTCCTCGTGGTGCCAGCTGGGTGGTTCGGGATTTTCCCGTTCCAGCAAATGGTTCGGCGGCAGTGTTCCAGGACGTGGTGGGTTTTCGCCTGGCAAGCGTTCTCCCTATAAAAAGCCACATATGTCCGTTTAACAACACTGTGACGTGGCGGACGTGACTCGCCACTAAATAAAGTCACTGCCCCTTGCTTCAACCTGGCGAAGCATTGTATTCCAGCAGCTTTATGCTGTACTTCTGGGGAGCATTGGGCCCCTGTTTGACAAAGGAACAAACGAAAGGCGTATGAACTGAGCAATCAGTCACCGGCTCCCAATGGGCGCGATTCCCTGAATTCGCTCCGCTGCCTTGCGGGCAGGCTATTCAGCCAAAGGCTCGGGGTGGTGTCCCCTAAGTCAACACCCTACTTCGGCTTGGGCAACCGGGTAGTATCTCGCCCTCTGAGGAAACCATGGACATTCTTGTGTTGTGTTTTATTGTACTGTTTCTGTACTTTCGTTTGAATCCCATGGTTTCTGATGGGTACCTTTGCCTCCATTTAAGTGATCTCACTTCGTACCCTCCACTAAAGAGCTGTCCACAGTGGATGTCAGTTTTACTGCATCAGGATAGGCAGCAGCAGAGGATTTCGATTTCCCGCATTTAGCCACGGCATTCAGGTATACCTTATCAGGCCTGACCACCCAAAAACCCGCCAACAGGAGACCTCCTTCACTGGTAGCTCGCCTGGTTTTGAGGTCCCTGATGATCTCTTTTAGCTTAAGCCTATCCATTAGCGGGAGGTCAGGCTGAACACTAACATTAGTACCTTTCAGTTTGAAAGCAAACCGCAGCAGCACGTTGCGTTCCTCCAAAGTGGATAGGACCACACAAAGTACGCGCGGTCGACGGTTTGGGGCGTTAACTGGGATGGTACCCAATCTAGTCAGTTTCCTGACAATAACACCGCACATCTAAACTATTGTAGGTTGACCAATGTACGTTCAACAGGAAGTGCGGCGGTGGATTCCACTGCGTTACGGAATATAACGCTGCCATCTATGAAAGAAGCACCTCGACGTGGTGTATATTTACCCCGCGAGTTTTTGAATTTAGGTGAACAGCAATGAGACTCGGCACACGTTATCAGACGACGCTGAAGCACATGCAGCGTCTTATGCTCCAGCTTGTTTGCCTCCTCATTCTTGACGCTTTTCGAAATGGCCTGTAGAGTACGGCCAGATCTGTTACGATTTCCTTTACAGGCGAAGCCCGTGGCGCAACGTCGATGTCCGCCCCCACGACCTGTACCCCTGGAAGACGGTGAGGTGTTTGGAGTAGGCACCTCCGCAGTTTGATTAGCACGCGATGGGGACATCTGATGTTTTTCACCTCCTGCCTGCACATCCTTAGATGAAGCTGAGAGAATTGCAGCACCAGGTCATCATCAGCATCAACAAAAGCAGTACATCAGCCATTTGAACTGATATGCTTCGCTGCTATACAACTACGGTGACCTATGAAATAAAGAATAATATAAGGGATAGAAGGGGGACTTCTTTGAAAAACCTTAATACCCTAAGCCAACATTCAGGGTCAAAGCGCCTACACCTTGTGTAGACAACATACCATCACAAACAATCGGCTATTGTGCAAAGAAAAGGCGGCATCGGTGAGGCAACTTCCTTGCGGTATTCACTGCCCCGAGTCGTAAGCAGCCATTACCTCGCAGATAACTCAGCACCAAACACACTTTAAACAGACAATCCGATTAGGAGACGGCAGTAGACGCGCCACTGGTGTCGGTTGCGAGCCATGTCCTGTAAAGCCTCGAGCCAAGCACAAGGTGAGTCACGTGGACTCCAACCCGGAAGGCGAGACGGACCAACGGCACCCAGTTTGGTCGTCAGTGACTTCATTTCCCGCTGCCAAGTCAACTTCTGTCCACCTCGAGCCTTGCGCCATCCGACACCTGGTAGACTGAACAAGGCCCTCCTAGGTAAGCGGTGACCGGGCATGCGTAGCACGTGCCCGAGCCAACGCAACTTATTCAGTGATATCTGTTGTTCTAGGGAGCTAGCATGATTATCACCACCTAGTACTCGCCTACATACATCATCGTTGCGGACACGCTGGTGACATCCGACTCCAGCAATGCTTCGCAGACAACGATGATCAAAGACCTGAAGGCGCCTCAGATCGAAGGGGCCAAGTCTCACTACCATAGAGCAGAACGGCCGTCACTGTGGCCTTGTATACCCGGCCTTTCAGACGGAGAGAAACTCCCTTCTGTCGCCAAAGATGACGCAGGTTCAAGAAGGCAGCTCTGGCTTTTGCAATGCGTGAGCTGACGTCAGTTTCTATGCGCCCATCATTGCTGATGCAGCTGCCAAGATAAGTTAAATGATCAACCACCTCGAGTTCCTCGTTAGCAAGCGTCAAGGGGTCATCAAGTGGCTGGTGGTCCTGCAGCAACACTTTGCACTTTGAAGGTGCGAAGTGCATACCAAATAATGGGACCACTCTAGACGGGCTATTCAGGGTTGTTTGGCCGCCCCAACATCGTTGAAAAGCAAGACTATATCGTCCGCATAATCTAGATCAACTAAGCTTTCACCAGGCAGCACTTCAACGCCTACATCGTGAGATTCCGCAAGGGAACACTCCATGATAGAATCCACGACGAAATTGAACAAAAATGGGGAAATCGGACAACCCTGACAAACGCCACTTGTAGTCAGAAAGCTATCCGATAGGGCACCATAGAC